TTGGAAAATGCCGTGCGAATTGTTTTGTTGTGTTATCTCGGCTGACATCAAAGTGCAACATTGTTGCATGCCAATGCACCAACGCCACCAACACCACTGACTGAATGTTGATGCTGTGATGAGTTTTTAAATTTGTTATTAAACGCTTTTGGCCGATTTGAATTTAGATGAAATTGCTGTGCCCCTCCTCCAAAAGCTCTCTCTTTCTAAATTTTCCATATCTGTTTGCACTTTTTTCCGACTCTGATTTTCCATCTGACCGAGAAGGGGTTCGGCGTTTCAAATTCTATAAATTTGCTTTTTTGTTTGACCGTTGTACGCATATTGGCAAATTGAGTTTTGAGCGGGTCGAATGAACTCCTGCCTTTTGCACATTTTCCCCCTTTTCCCGCTCTCGATTTGTTTGTTTTCCCGCAGTTTTCATCTCTTTCACGCGGTGTCTCTATTTGGCCTTTGGCAAATATCATTAAAATATTGTTGAAACAGTTTTGGTCGATTGTCGCGGTGGTTGATTGAATTTTGAAATCGCCAGCGGTTCCGTTTTTGTGCTACGACTGTATAGAACTTTTCTAAAAACAACCACAGAAATTTGGTTTTTACAATAGATTTTTTTAAGAATATTGGTCTACCCTTACTTACATGGTATGTGTAAAAAACTTTTATATTGAACCCTGGATAAAATATTATCATATATCTCGTTACATTTCAGGGGTGATAGATAAGCTCTCCCGATCTCTGATAAGTCTAAGCGTTATAGTGCTATCTATTTTTTCAGCCGCCCATTTAGCTGCCTTAACAACCTGATAAATCCACCTGCCATTATTTAACAAGACCTTCAAACCTTTAAATAGTCAAAGACCCTTTAATTATCTTTTCAAACTGCCTAACACTTTGGAGTTCGAACAGACCAACAAATTAATTGCCCTGCAAAGAATTCCAAACGAACAGAAAGCCAAAAGAAACCACAAGTCTTTGACAAAAGCCGAACACCAATTTTTCAAGAAGCATTTAAAAATCAATAGAATCACATTTATTTAAGCCAAGAAAATCCCAATCGAAACTTCATTATGTTGCCAAAAAAAATGAAATGGTAGAGAAAAGGTATAAGAATTCAAAGTAGAAACAGCGTGACAGATTATGCAAACTAATTACACAAAATTAGTTGAGATTTATGCCCTGAAAAAGTTCCGAAAAGCCCGAAAGAGTTTCGATATTCCCCCACCTGTTACCTCGCCGCATTTATTAATCAATTCAATTTTTGCCGCTCGGCGTGAGCTTGAGTTTTTTTTTTCAGGGAGTTCAGAGCGTTGGAAACCCGTTTAACAAATAGTGTGACATAATATTAAGGGTGGGGAAAGGCAAAGGAGAAGGGTCAGGTCTTCGCCTCCCTTTGGGTTCGTACAAATTTGTATGATGTAGAGCTTAATTGGTGATTAACCACCTGTAGATTGAACTGCATTTCCATGGAGCGACTCGGCGAGAGAAAGAAAAGTCGTGCCTGGCCAGGCCCCAAATGAAGACGATGCCATGTCTCTGGAAGCCCCGACCACAGCCCCAGACTTTAACTTAAATGCAGACCCAAATCCAAACCCAAGTCCATTCTCCTAGCAGGCGAATGTCACTGCTGGACTAGTTCTCCACAGAACAAGATTTATGGTATACAAGACTCGGTTGGCCCGATGTCGCTGTCAGCGGCAGAGAAATGGGGAAACGGGCTGGGGACGGGGCCAGTTTTCCATGGAAATTGCTGCAGTCCGTCTTGGACTCTTTGGGAAAATAATTCATTTCGATTTGTCAATGAAGCGCTTAGATTATCTCTCTATTAATTATCGTTTATGGTTTGTTTGTTCGTTAGTTCGTTTCGGGGCTTGGTCTTATCTATGGGGGCGTCAAAGAACACGCTCTGTACGAGAACGGTTCCCATGAACTCTCCGTCGAGATAACGGCCAGAGTTTGCTCTGCTTCACCTGGTGGTGGTATTCGGTGGGCCTACGCCCCCCCCCCCCATCTCAAATGAAAAGCAAATTGGCCAGACCAAATATTGTGGCACTACCAATCGAGATCTATCTACGGCACAGTGCTCATCCCGGGCCTCCACTATTAGCATGCTAATATAAACATGAAAACTAAAACTTATTACAAAACCCATTAGTGCCTCTGGTTTCTGGTTTACTTTTTTTGTCCTCGGCTAGTTTGGACGGTTCGTTGGTTGATTGCCTCCCAAAACATTTATAACGTTTTGGGTGTCTTCTCACATTTGTTGTACTCTATAAAGGACAGGGTCCTTGTTATTTTGAAATGAGTTGAAAATATTTTTAATAAAGTTTTATGCTTCCACTTTAATCAATTCTATGAAAAGTGTAAAGATGTTCAATATCAAAAGAAACGAATAAATACTTATTTCTTGCAGATTAACAAAAAAACAATTTCTTTCTACTGATAATAAAGAAAAGATAAGATCACCAAAATATTTAAGTATATTAAAGTGTTAGGTATGTAATTTGTACAATAACTTTTTAATTTACATAAGCCCTCGCAATTGTATGTATTGTATAAGGTTCTTAAAAAACAGTTTTTATATACCATAATCTTTCCCTATAGAGTGTATGCACTTCTTGATTCCCCCAAGCCCACTGGTATTTCCCCAAGCCCACTGGTTTTTCCTTCCTCCGATTTCTTTTTCTTTTGCGGTTGCATGTGAACCGATGCCCGTTGGCGCTTTTCCTGGGTTTTCCTGCGCTATCCAACGACCAATCAATGCCAAACTGATGATGTTAATCTGACTGGCCCTTCTCCTGCTGCGACGGCTACTGGCAGGGCCACGCCCCCTAGCTGGCAGTTCCCATTTACCCTTAAGTTAAAATTCATTTGAATATACAACATCCTATTTCAATTTAAATTCAAATCCGCAAACATTTGCCACGAACATTGCCAAGTCCAGGGGAAAACTGACATGGGCCACGCCCCCTTTAGCAGGCGGTTGGGACACATACCCGAGCATATCAGGAGTTGGCCATCGCCATCGTCCTCCTCCGTTCTCCATACTCCATCCTCCTTTGCCATAGCTCCTGGTGCTACAGGCTCCTCTCATGGACCTTGTCGTCGTCGTTGTCGTGGACGCTGGCAAATGCCACTTACTCCAAAGTGCCGCAACGATTAACATCTACGACCTGATGGGCGAGGAGCTGGGAGCTGGGAGTTGGTAGCTGGTAGCTGGGATCCAGGAGATGGAACAAGGAGCTCGGACTGCTCCACATGACCAGGCCACCTACCGTTATGTATCTGCAGCTCCCACCGCTTCTCTCCGATTCGCTGTGGCACTTTGTAGTGTGTATCTTTTGCATATCGCCCGCCATGTATCTTCAAGTATGAGTATCTGCGACACCGAAATTGCAAAACCAATTTAAAAAACGTTTCGCAAAACATTCCGTTGATAGTTAAACACCAAATTGGAATCTGCTCGTGAGTGAAAAATATATACATTTTTTCATTTAATTAAATGTTTTCCCCCCCCCCCCCCCCCCCCCCCTTCTTTTTCCTGGTTTTATAACGAGTTTATGGTGTTTTGGATCGACAGCTAGTGCGTTTTTGTATTTCAAAAAAGTTTTCGATTTGATTGAGTTGTGTGGCGGGAATGTGCCAAGCGCCAAGTTTGAGGTTTTCGAGGTCAGAGTTGGCGGAATATGAGGTTAGTTTGGGTTAGCAAATTGGAGAAAATCTAAGGGAACGTGTGGATATTTTCCATAGAAACCCATTCATTTGCCAGTCAAATTATTTGTTATTTAATTTTAAAATGAAAGGAACAGTTTTTTGAACTATCGGATTTAATTAATCCTATCTTCAATGCCTTTTATAAATGCCAGTGATATTAAGGTTTAACTTTAGACCTAAAACTTTGTTACTTATATTTTTAAATGCTAACCCTCTCCAGCCAGAATGTCACTTCACCTGCTATCTTAGGACCACACTTTTTGTGGACCCATCCGAGCTCTTAATATTTGGGCTGACATTAATGCCAATATTTGCCCTGACTTGGCCATAAATCTTAAGCCGGCTGCAATAAATTAAATTAAATTACATTTTATATAGATTTTTTTCTGGGCTGTCGCCAAAGACAATGCAAGGAGAAAAAAAGAATATATATATATGGAGAGCTTATCACGATCGGGGGACAAAAGGCACAGAGATTTCTGCCTGGGCCTCACTTATAAATTATTTAAATGGAAAAATAAAGCATCGGCCAGAGTCGGAGATCGCGACTGGACGCGGTCTGTTTGCAAATGCGGTCGAGTAGGAAATGTCATGAAAATGCAGCCCCGAAATGCAGGCCAAAAGCATCGTCCTCCCATCGATACGACGGCGATACCTGAGGTAGTAAAACACAAATTCACAAATCGAACATGAACAAAGCAAGAAATGATAAGATCACGATTGTTCCTCTGGTTCCTCGGGAAAGTAGCAGGTTCCACATTGGCGCTGCACTGCATCTTGTCCAAAAACCGAGCCAAACATTTAATTGCGAGCCACGTTCTGCACGAGTGAGAGGAGTCAGGGGCAGGGGACCTCCTTTATGTTCTGACCAACCGATCGACGGATCGGGCCACTTGTGCCAGTTATGCTCACGTATGCAAAGGAAAACTTTATCTGACAGATTTGCGTGATAAGCCGGTGCAGAAAGAGAGAGCCTGGGTATAAGCCACCATCAGGCCCGGGGATCGATCGCTTCCTGGAGTGAAATATTGCCCAGATCCAACCAACCAACCTCCTGCCACAATTTTCTGGCCAAATTGGCAGTCTGGCTGCTGGTGGTACACGCAAAGGGACGAACTTTGTTTGAATTCCTTTTTCATGTGGCTACCAATTGCTGGCACTCTGCAATTGCTTTTTGGCCATTTAATGAGCCAAGAACTTGCATTCGGACAGTAGCTGAAAAATCACACAAAATTTGAGAAAATAGGTTGCTTGAAATGTATTTATTTGAAATATTAAAGGTTTCACAAACAGTATTGAGCACTTATCAGTTTTTGTTATTTAATGGGAAACCAACGATGATGACGACGACGATGCTGACGACGACGATGATGACGACGACATGGTAGAACTATGACTTTGGGAGGTTTTATTGGAGAAGAAATTGGTTCCATCTATCTCGGGAATATCAGTTGTGTCAAGATCATTCGTAAGGGCTTGGGTACCCATATAAGGTTGTATTTTTATAGGGTTCATCTGTCCATTAGAAGCCGTCGATGAAGATGAATATGATGTAGATGAATTTGACGACGACCAAGATGACCCTGATTGGAAAGTGCTAAAGTGCTGATTGCTCAGGTCCTTTACTGGTTGTAAGCTTCCAAAGTTTGCGAACAATTTATTTTTCATGTCCGTAAAAGATTGAGAATCCCCCATGCTTGAATTGGAGGTCGACCATAGCAATGGCAAATTGTTGGGTTTGTCATTTTGTTCCATGCCAGATTTAAAATAGGTGTAAATGGTTCCTGTTGGCTTGTGTTGAGCTGGTGCTAAAGGGCCTATGGGGCCAGGAACACCTGGCGAGTAATAGGCAGTGTTTCCGGGCTCTCTCCTAAAGTTTTCATACCCAAGATCTCCACGTTCTCCCTTTTCGCCTTTAATGCCCATATCTCCCTTTTGTCCTACCGCACCACGATCACCCTTCACGCCTGGAGGACCGGGAGTATTCATGTATCTCTGTATCTGCCATTCGAGGGCTTCCACCCTTTGACTTAATGTATATATATCCGAATTCAGTTTTTCAATTGTTTGAGTTTTGAAATCTTCAAACTCTTGTTGTTCCACCTAAGAAAGACAAGATTAGTTGAGAGATGTATTACGCAATAGGAGCAGAGCTTCTAAAATCACTAATCACTTTTCTCTTATTATAATACTATTAGCACTGGATAAGAAATTCAAATATAGGTTGTCGTGTATGATCTAACAATTAAACTTTGATTGAAATGTACTCGGGCATATAAACACAGAAATTTAATATCAAAATATTATTATTATATAAAATATATATATTTATATGTAAGATCAAACTACGATTAACCGTTTTCTTTTAGCTTTATTTTGACATCCAATGCTTAATTACTTATATTTTACATATTTACCACATCAACACCACCAGATGAGGGAACTAAAATCAGCGACACGTTGAGGAAAAAAATGATGATAATGTATTTCCTCATATTGAAAGTACTAATCAAAAGTCAAACTGTGCAGAATCTAAGACGGCGAGATACTAAATTCGATTTTTTTAAACGTCGAGTGGACTACGGTCCGTTGCTAAGAAAGTTCTTATCTCCTAAAGTCGCGGCTCTCACAGGTTAATTATATTTAAATTTCTGTGGCTATCAAATTAATCGCCAAATCGCTCTTCACTGACAGTTGTCTGGAGAATTAAATATAAATAAATATTCTCTTCTACCATAAGAGTAGCATGGTTAATTTCGGAATCGATTCAAAAATAATCTTTGATTAAAGACGAACAAAAACTTTAAGCAAGAATTATTTGTGTCTTTATTCTCATTAATAAACAAAAAAATAGAAACCCCAATTCCCATTTGATATTAACTACGTTTACCAGCTTAGAAATCCCTTGACAATCGCTTGTGCAATTACGAACTTTCAATTTGAACTTCCCATGTTTACTTCATAAACTCCTTGATCCTCGATTGTGCCCTAGGCCTTGGTTAACACAGAAAAAATAAAAGTTTTTCGCCCCTGATTTTCCTGCCCCCGATTCCGTAATAGGGATCCATTACTTAATGCCAAAGCCCCTTTCCGAGGCATTGGCGATAAGAACAAAGTTTTCGGCTTGGCTGGAAAATCTTCAATTTCTGTTTGGCTTCGCTTTCCTTCTGCTGGCGCACTTTCACCTAAAAGTTGACAAAAGTTTCCCGAAGAAATTGCAGTTAAAGGGGGGCAGAGTCGGAGGCAAAGTGTGACAAAGTATCCACATCGTGGGTTGGAGTGTGTAAATGTCCATTGAAGTGTAGAATTTGATTGCAGTTCGAGATGTCTTTATGCGTGTGCGAGGGTATATGATGAGCGTCTTTGGATTTCCAGCGATTGTCTTTTATGGCTTGGAAAATCAACTTTTGGCTAGCAACGCTTCGATGCGTTTGATGCACAGGCAAAAGGAGCGAACTTCGCTTCAGTACAGCTTAAAGTCTGAGAGGCGTAAATTCACTTAAATTATGCGTAAACGTCCAAGTTTCCCCTTGCATGGCAACAATTTGCTGACTCACTGGCAGAGTGGGTAAAAATCCCGCAGAAGCCCCCTTGTGACCCACATTTATTCGCTCGAATTGATTTCCTATGCTCAGCTTAGCTTTGGCAATCAGCGCCGACTGGCACACGCGGCGTATACGCAACGAGCTTACCCGCCTGGCCATTTTTATTTGCTGTAAATCTGTAACGAAGGCACGCACTATTTTCCCGGATATTTATGCTGTGTCGGCGGGAACACTGTTTCTCGTCCCCATATGATCCCTTATCTAGGTCTGGGTCCCTTTCGGTTTTGATAATTTAATGCCTGTTTGAGTTAAGACAGTGAGAGCCCTTTTTTGGGCCACCATGATTCCTCATGAGTTGTTTCCTGCTCCTCGCCACACACATAAACTACAATATTTAATTGGTTCCAAGCCTTTTGCCTAGACACGTCCACTCCCTGTTTTTTTGCATATTTAATGCAATTACCAAAAGGTTCTCCCATCGGAATTGGCCAAACCCCAAAGATAAGGGCTCCGAAATTGATTTAGCTGACTTCTGGAGCCAAACACCTCGGCGAGGCTATTGATAGGCCATAAAACGGGGAGTTCGAAAGAAATTGATACCTTAAAATGCGAACTAGGTTTCAAGGCCAAAAGGTGTCCTCGAAAACCAGTTACCTCTTGAAAAGATCTTTCTTTATGCACACAAATCAACACGATAGGAAAATCCAATTTATATTCTTAAATACACAAATATATCTACAAATACCAAGAAACTAAGTAACATTATTGACATTAATAAAGTACGGTCTTAAAAATAATTCATTATGGTTTTAAGCTATTATGAAGTACCTAGTCCAAATCCAAGTATTTTCAAGATTGGAAATAAATTGATGAATATTTTGTAGTTATTTTATTACTTCTATTAAGGTTCCGGTTTGCATAGCTTTTAAATATAAAACTTTACCTAACATTCAACTTAAATTATTTGTTTAGGAAACTAATTTCCAGCTCTGGTGCTAATCTCAGTTCCAACTTTTATTAGACCCGTTACTCGTAGAGTAAAAGGGTATACTAGATTCGTCGGAAAGTATGTAACAGGCAGAAGGAAGCGTTTCCGACCCCATAAAGTATATATATTCTTGATCAGGATCACTAGCCGAGTCGATCTAGCCATGTCCGTCTGTCCGTCTGTCCGTCTGTCCGTCTGTCCGTCTGACCGTCTGTCCGTCTGTCCGTCTGTCTGTCCGTCCGGATGAACGCTGAGATCTCGGAAACTATGAGAGCTAGGCTATTGAGATTTGGCGTACAGATTCCTGAGCTTCTTACGCAGCGCAAGTTTGTTTCAGTAGACTGCCACACCCACTCTAACGCCCACAAACCGCCCAAAACTGTAACTCCTACAGTTTTGATGCTAGATAGAAAATTTTAACTGAAATGTATTGTTCTCATCAAAACCTATCGATTGACCTAAAAAAAAGTTAGCCACGCCCACTTAAACCCCCACAAACCGCGAAAACCTGTGACGCCCACAATTTGCATGCTAGATAAAAAATTTTAACTGAAATGTATTGGTGTCGTCAATACCTATCGATTGATCCAAAAATAATTCTGCCACGCCCACTCTAACGCCCATAACGCTTAAATCTGTCTCCCGCCGGTAGGTGGCGCATTTTAATTTCGCTTTGCTGCTTGCATATCTCCATTTCCCTTTGAGTAACGGGTATCTGATAGTCGAGGTACTCGACTATAGCGTTCTTCCTTGTTTTATTTAAATCTGATGGTTTCGCAGTTTTTTCCCCCACCTTTTTTACAGGCAATGATAAACAAATCGGAACTTCCTCAAACCCCTCGTCGAGCGCAAGTTTATGTGTTGCCGCGAAATCTCAAAACAATCAAAGTACCCGGGGAGAAAAAAGTGGAGCTGGTGAAAGGTGGACTTTGGTAAGGGGGTTCCGCAAAAAAGGGACCCAACTCAAATAATATCCAGCTTTTGCTACTGTTTCACTTCGCGTGGGCGTTGATGTTTGCTCTCCGAAAACAACAACAATGCGGCAACTTCAACTTTAGTGCGAAAACTTTTGCCACTTAACTTTTGTGAATGCATCAGCATCAGCGGGGAAATTGGGGAAATGGGGGCATGGAGTTGTTTGGCCGACCGAGAGCCAATCCCCAGATTCCGTCGACTCTGGCTCTGGCAAAGCAATTAAAATTATTGCTGGGCGCAAAAAGTAATATTTTCCAAGTACTAAATACACACACTATAAAAATGGCAAATGCCCCACGAGTCCCGCCCCCTCAGTTCTTCATCACTAACCCCAGCGCACATACGGCGGGAAAAAGTTGATTCAATGCGAATTTTCGTGAGATTTATTTACATATGCCAAGACGCGCCGCGAAGAACTTTTTCTTCATCCAGAAAATGAGGGTGCCAGGGCCCACATTGAAATCGGGAAAACTCTCTGGAAAACCCCTTGAGAAGATTCAGGGAGTTTGGGCCCTGGGCTCGAGGATATAAAAGGAAAATTAAATCGCAAATGGAGGGAACGAAATACGAAAATCACATTGAACAAAAAAAGGATTTAAGTTGTTGAAAGTGTTTCAAGTCTGCAAACATTTTTCAGGTCAAGAAGTATCATTTGTAGCTTTAAGGAAAGTGATTAAGGAGACTTTTCTACTTTTAAAAAGGGCCTCAATAATTTAGAAACCCAATTTATCGAGAGAAATTATAAATGCCTAATTAATATTAAGTTTGCTAATAACCTTATAAATGTAAGGCCGCCACAAGAGGCAACAATTCCAATGATTTCATAAACTCCGTTTATTTGCAACCCATCGATACACACTTAGCAAACACTAAAACCAATATGAAATCAACTTACATGCCAAGGTACACATAATAATAAATTGAAAACCGAAATCGATTTAGTTGTAACCAAGTTTATGGTCATAGAAACCCGGCCCGGCGACCCCGGCAGCCGAAAGGAAAGAGCAAAGTTCCTGGCTAAGTTGACCATAAAATTGCACACAAATTGCATCAAATATTTAGTTGGCCCAGCCGATGCACAGACAAATAGCAAGGGCCAAGTGAATTTACCTGGGCCAATAAATAAACAGCAAATATTTTATGCAAATTTTCAATTTAACACAGCATTAAATGCACGCACACCTGCAAGCGGGCGACTCCTTCAGAGATCAATGCAAATTCCCTTGGCAGGACAAACAACACCTGTGCGGCCGTGTGCGAAATGTGTGTGGCTTAAAAGGCCCATAAACCGCATGCGATTCCATGGAACGCTGCAGCATTTTGTGGTAATTTTCATAATTTACACAGATACGGAATGAGCAGCACACCTTTGTGTTATTGGACTGCGGGGAATCCCCGGAGGCCGGGGGCCGTGTTACAATATTGAGTTGGAAATCATTGGGCGTAATTTGTTTGTCTGCTGGTCAGGCACTTGATAGGCGTGAAAATCAATGTATTGATAAGATATTTTCAGCAAATGCAATTATTTGACAAATTGCTAAACAGCTTACAGAACTGAAAGGGATGAAAAGGACGGGCAATTTCCATAAATCATCGATTGCGGTACAGTTTGACGCAGGTCAACTATGATTTATCAAAGTCCAAAAGTGTTTCATTGCCCGAGAAACTTTTCGGAGCATTATGAGCTCTCCAGCCCAGCTTGGGAAAACGTACTTATTTACTTTGGCCCACTCATTAACTGCCGAAGGACTCCTGCCCCAGCCAAGTTAAAACTTTGCCCTGATTCTGATAAACTTTGCCTGCAAAGTTCATTACCAAAAATGTATCTTGTAGCATCTTTGGCTCATTTTCCACTCATTTTGACATATTTACGCAAGGTGACAGGCTCGTGATTAATACGGGTGTGCCTCTGTGGGGGTTTTCGGGATGGTGTGATGGCAGTGAAAAGGTTCCTGGCATGTCATTAACCTACTCCCACACACTCAAATAGATGTGAGGCGAA